TGTCTGATCTACGTTGCTGTGCTATCTCTGAGCAAATAGTTAGTTATTGGCCCAGTCAGGTGCTCTGAATTGGCCTGGAGCTGAGGTCTGGTTGACTTTTCAACCATAGTCTCCACCTCTCCAAGCTGGCAGGCTCTAGTGTGTGGTGGAGACAGTGTATTCATCATTGCAGCTGAAAGAATGCCTAGCTTTGCTCATTAGACTTTTTGCTGAGGGCATTAAAGGGCATTTCAAAGTGACTTCGTAGGTGTGATGAGGGGAATAGTAGTTACAACAAAAGGGCTTTTTCAGAATAGGCATTATTCCTCATGGAATGAGGTTTACCCAAGTTGGAATAAGTCATCCATTATTTTGAATTTATTTTGAAATAACGGAATTGCTGTGTAGATGCTCGCATTGTTATTCTGAAATAATGTCAGTTATTTCAAAATAATTGTGCTGTGTAGACGCACCCTTTAGACATACTGAACGTCATGTAAGAAGTGGAGCTGGAGAAAAGAGGGCCAGGAATTTTACTGGTGCTGGACTAGAAATTGAGGAATATAAGACTTAAGGTGTATCGCTCTACACAGTACCCTATGTTTGAAAATTGCGTATCTTATTTAGAATCTATTTTGAAATAAGCTGTTTTTAAATTTGGTGCATCTACACAGCACCAAATTTCAGAATAACTTGCTATTTTGAGCAATCCCTTATCCCTCGCGCAACGAGGTTTACTAGGATGGTGAAATTGAACGCGCATTATTTCGCAAAATATTTTGTATAGATGGTGGGTAGCTATTTTGGGATACCTCCAATAGCCTGAAATAGCCATGCAGTGTAGATGTACCCTTAAGTCTTTTATGCAGATATAAGACTTAGGCAACTCAGTGGACAGAATAAACCACCCCTGGGTGACTTATGTTGACAAAGCTTCTGCTATTTATGGAGGAGCTCTTGCCTGTCGGCATAGAAACCCAATGCCCTGCAGCAGCGCAGTTGTGATGGTACAGCTGCACTGCTGCAGCAGTGAACATGCAGACATGCTCTTGAAAGCTGCTCTTAAGTGTGGCTTGGAGGTAAACCGCAGTCTCAGCATGCAACACTGGCCTCCAGTATGTTTAATAAAGGTCAGCCTGCTTGCTGCAGCCACCCATTGTTAATGACAAACTGAGGACAGAAGCTTCCAAATGTAGTTTCCTGGACTTAGTCTTGATCGGCTGTTTATAGGTAAATATGATTACCACTGACTTCTAAAGACAAGAGAGATTTTTTTTCCTTATTTCTGACTCGCCATAGTTGTGCTGGGGCTGGTTACCTCATTAATATCTCTGGAAGAAAGCAATAGTTTGATCTGCTATAGCTTTGAAAAATCTATAGCGTTTCATGATGCTCTTCTTTGCCTGGAGCAGCCCTTTTATTGAGAGAGTTGACTGAGAAGCATGAGGCTGCTAAACAAATCCCTCAATAAAAGGACCAGCCTTCTACTGCTAATCTCATCTGTGTCATCTACTTGCTCAGCTACCTCACTTTAAACTGCCAACAATTAGTAACTCACAATGAAGAAAAGCTGAAATTAACTAGATGTGTACTCTGCAGCACATGCATTTTATGACCCATTTGCTACATCACCTCCTGTTTCTCTTTTTATTGAATAATGTAAACTGTAAGCTTGTTGGAGGGGGGGGGGGTGTCTCGTCATCTTATGTATGCAAGCAACAGACACAGCTAACGCTTGTCCATGGCAAGCATTTTTATATCTATTTAATTTTACTTTGTGCAATGAAATGGTGACTATAATTTTGGGGGTTAGGTTTAAAAGGCAGTTTTTTACCTAGATTTTTTAAAAATGATAAAATAGTACTTAATATAAACAAAATAACACTTCCTTTCTAATATTTGTACCAGAAGGGGCATAAGTTCTTTGTTTCCTCAATATAGCATTTGAAACAGACAAATGAGTCACTAGCTCTCAGAAGAGCAGTTTCTTAAGACGCTCTAATATAGCTGGATGACTTTTTCCTTTCTATTCTATAAGAGCAGTGTTCTAAAGCAGAAATGCCATCTGAGACAGCCTATATATAGTTGAGATCAGCTCTTCTGTTGGAACTATGCAATCAGAATTTTGGACTGTTTTTAACTGTCATCTTTCAGACCGGTGAGTTTCTTCTGATGAACCGCAATCATACTTACAACCTGCCTGCTTCTAGTGAGGAACATAAAATATAGTGTCTACATAAATCATTTTTCATAGTAGCAGGAAATAAGGCTTTTAACGAACCTCTGCTTTGTAATTATGCTGAAGGAAGCACAGCTGGTCTGGGATTTAAAATGCCCAGTATAAAGTCCAAGATGGAGGAGAGTTTTTTTGTGGGGGAATAGGGCTGCTTTGGAGTATTTACCGATTTCCCACTGGTTCATAATGCCTCACTTCATGTTTTGCCATAATCCCCCTGTGGTTAAGAGGGGCTGGCTAAGATTCACTCAGTAGTCTGTTAGACCAAAAAGAGGGTCACAGTGAAATGAGTCAAGACTCTTGCAGATTGTTCCCTCTGGGTATGTCTAGACTACATGGCTCCGTCAATGGAGCCATGTAAACTAGTTTACCTGGCATAGTCATTGAAGCGTGGATTTAAATAATCCCCGCTTCATTAAAATAAAAACGACCGCCGCGCTGTGCCGACGATCAGCTGATCCGGCACAGCGCAGCAGTCTAGACATGCCTGGTCGACAAGGAAAGCCTTTGTCGACCACTCGAGCATACTTCGTGAAACAAGGTTTACCGGAGTGGTCGACAAAGGCTTCCCTTGTCGAACGCGGCACGTCTAGACTGCTGAGCTGTGCCGGATCAGCTGATCATCGGCACAGCGCAGCGGCCATTTTTATTTTAATGAAGCAGGGATTATTTAAATCCACACTTCATTGACTATGCCGGGTAAACTAGTTTACATGGCTCCGTTGACGGAGCCATGTAGTCTATACGTACCCTCTGTTCCCTTAGTTCTTGACAGCCTAGATTAAAACAGACCAGAGCATCTAATTGAACACAGGTTTCTTATATCATGGAGTTCAAAGCATGGCCTGATAAGAGAGGGGTTTATCCTGCCTCCCAGAGATTTCTACCAAAATCCCCAGTGGCATTATTAATGCCATTATTTGCATTCCTGGAGTTGTCAAGAAAGGTGATAAGACTGAAAGAAATGACAATGATATCCTTACCTTTTTGCCAATGAAAAAGGAGGAGACCATTTTTTATTCAAAAGAATAGTCTTATATACACAGTACACAGACAGTCTCTAAGGTACCAGGGTGTTTTCAAGCTCCACTATATACCTGGAGCTTAAATTGGTTTCCAGGAGAAGTTTCAAAGGAGGACTGGAAATGTACAAATATAGATAGTGCAAGTCATTAAAAAGGGGAATAAGGACCATCTGGGGAATTACAGACAGAGCAAATAATTAAACAATTAATTTGCAGACACTTAGAAGATAATAAGGTGATAAGTAACAGTCACCAGGGATTTGTCAAGCACAAATCTTGTCAAACCTACCTAGTAGCTTTCTTTGGCAGGGTAACAAACCTTGTGGATGGGGGTGGAGGGAAGCAGTAGATGTGGTATATTTAGACTTCAATAAGGGTACATCTACACTGCAACGCTATTTCGAAATAACTAGCACTATTCCGAAATAACTTAGTCCGTGTTTACACAGCAGGCAGTTATTTCAAAATAGTATCAAAATACTGTCCAGCTGGAGGACTTCTTATTCCAACTCCTGAAACCCTCATTGTAGGAGGAATAAGGGAAGTCAGAGAAAGAGCACTCTATTTAAAAATAAGTGCTGTGTAGATGCTCCCTATTTTGAAATAAGCTATTTTGAAATAAGATATGAAATTGATGTCACTCAATTTGCGCAGCTTATTTTGAGTTAAACCCTGCAGTGTAGACACACCCTAAGGCTTTTAAAACAGTCTCGCATGACCTTTTCATGAAACAATTAGAGAAATACAAGCTTAGTGGAGCAACTATAAGGTGGTTCACAGTCAAGTTGGAAGGGCATATCAAATGGGTTCCTGCAGGGATCAGTTATGGGTCCAGTTCTGTTCAACGTTTTTATCAGTGATTTAAATAACAGCATAGAGAGTACACTTATAAAGTCTGCAGATGATATCACACTGTGAGAGGTTGCAAGTGCTTTGGAGGATAAGATTAAAATTCAAAATTACTTCAAGAAACTGAGAAATTGGTTGAAGTAAATAGGATGAAATGCAATAAAGAGAAATGCAAAGGACTCTGTTGAGGAAGGAGCAGTCAGTTGCACACATACAAAATGGGAAATGATTGCAACAGGGAAGATGTGGACAAATTGGAGCAAGTTAAGGGAAGAGCAACACAAATGATTAAAGAGCTAGAAAACATGCGCTATGAGAGAAGATTGAAAAATCCAAGTTTGTTTAGTCTGGAGAAGAGAAAACTGGAAGGGGACACGATGATAGTTTTAAAGTATATAAAAGGTTGTTACGAGGAGGAGGGAGAGAAATTGTTCTCTTTAATCTGTGAGGCTAGGACAAGAAGCAATGAGCTTAACTTGCAGCAAGACCAGGTAGGGTTGGATGTTAAGAAAACTTCCTAAATTACAGAGTAATGAGTACTAGGGAGGTTGTGGAATTTTCATCACTGGAGATGTTTAAGAGCAAATTAGACAAACACCTGTCAGGGATGGTCTAGATAATACTTAAATGACCTCTCAAGGTCCCTGCCAGTCCTATTAGTCTATGATTCAGCAATGCTAATGATCAGGCACTATTTTATGTCTGCCAGTTCTCAAAAGTAATCCCTCCAGCGGTACATTTGGCTCAATAAATATTAAAAGTTGGGTTTTCTGTGAATAATTCATGCTTTATCATAATTGTCCCCCCTTTGTTTACTTGTATCAGAGATGCCAAGGGCTGATTGGGCCTGAATACCAAACTTCCCTTTTGCTCCTAGGCATTGCCGAGGTACATTAGAAGGCAACACATACCTGTAGTGTGATCACAGAGAAGAAGTTTGTCTCCGGGATTGTCAATCCTGCTACTTTTACTGAAAATAAAAAACAAATATCTCTATAGGCTACGCCTCCAAGTGCATCATGCCTTGTGTATTGCTGCTGGTGGTGCTGAGTGTAAGAGCAAGAAGTGGGATCTGCATGGATCTGCATGGATCCTTAATACTGTATTTTCCATCTGCAGAGTGCTCCCAAGGATCAGCAAAGGTTGTGACAAAATAAGCAGTCACTTTTAATAAAAGTTTCCTTTGCCTGTTCAGTTAAGATCCTCTTTCACAGTTTAAGTATCTTCATAGTTGGCAGACATAGCCGTGAACAGTCCCTGCAGCTTCACAATACATCTGTCAAACAAAGAAAGGTTGTACAAATTGATGTGGCAGTGCCCTGTTCAGTCATTGCTATGGTATGCTTGCCAGGCCAGGTACTCTTAGAAGTTCTACATTTACTGGACAAAATGAGTCCCCTATGGCTGTTTCTGTACTATTCTGCTGGTTGACAGGTGGTTTATTTCTTGCTGTGGCCTCACAATCACTATCTCTAGCCAGGTCTCTTTCCCCATAGCCCCATTTTTGTCTAAGGGTACGTCTACACAGCAGGGCTAAAATCGGAATTAGTTATCCAACTTCAGCTACATTAATTGTGTAGCTTAAGTCAAAATAGCCTATTTCGGCTTTTTGGTGCTGTCCACACAGCAGGAAGTGGAAGGAAGAGCACTCTTCCTTCAACTTCTCTTACTCCTAGTAAAATGAGGGTTACCATGAATCAGAGAAGTCCGACAGCTCAACATTATGTTGAAATAAAGGCTTGTAGTGTAGACGCGCTCTTTGTTATTTTGGAATAACATCAGCTATTCTGAAATAACTTTGCTGTGTAGCCATACCCTGTGTAGCCATACCCTTCCCCCACAATAAAGGATTTGGATACTTTCCCTGCCCAGTTTTGCATTTCAGCATTACAGGTCTGAATCTGAATTTGAATTTTGCAGTTTTGACCCACCACCTTTTTATGAAATCTATTCTTGGGTTGGGGCTTCCAATATTTTCTGATTGTCCTTATTTCCAAAGCATGCACTTGATCTTTTGGGACACCACATCCAGAGACTGATTCCATGAGCATTACTTCTCTGTTCCCTAGAAGATATAAGTGGGAATAGGCCCTTCCAGGGTAGAAAATCTGAGCACCATACAGTACATTGTGGCTATGTCTACACTGCACCCATTTTGTGCAAGAAATATGCAAATGAGGCTAAGCGTGGAATATCGCCAAGCCTCATTTGCATAATTAATAAGGCTCCATTTGTGCCCTGAAACCCCCTCTTGCACAAGAGCCATTCTTCCGCATTTTTTTCAGGAAGAACGGCTCTTGCGCAAGAGGGGGTATTTGTGCAAAAAGGAGCCATGTAGATGGCTCCTTTTTGCGCAAAAGCCTCTTTCCCAAAAACAGAGCCTAGTTAATCATGCAAATGAGGTGCGGCGATATTCCATGCTTTGTCTCCTGTGCAAGAGGCTATAGTGTAGATATAGCCTGTGTGTTTAAGGGACAAACAGGTTCAGGATGCTGGCCCAGGACCAGGAGAAGTCAAGAGCACTACAATTCATTGAAGTCACTGGAGCCACGATAATACACCCAAGGATCTACTCTGTAAGCTCTAGCTTAGCTCTGCCATTAAGAAAAGTGCAAAATTCACTGCCACTGAACTGTGCTGTGACCTTGGGCAAAGCCACTTCACCTTTTGGCCAGATTTTCGCACCTGTAGAAGATTCCTTTGCAAAATGCTGTGAGATCTGCATGTGAAAGGCTGTATGTAAGTGCTTTAGTTAGCACTGATGTTGTAATTAAAACCAGAAGTCTACTCTCTTGTAAATGGACATTAAAGCTCTTTTGGTATAAAATCAGGGATTCATTGATGTTTTTACTAAAATACACTTTTTCCTCAATGTTGTGCAGGTCCTATGATCTGGATGCTTGCTGTCCTCCATCCCAGATGTGGCTGCATTTCAGTTGTGCTGGGAATATATAATTGTAAAGTGCTTTGGATACATTCAATAAGAAAGACATGATAGACGTACAATTGAAATTACAGAGACAACAGATTTTGTGAATGGACTTTCCCCCAATAAATATTCAGATGCAGATATTCCCATGTTACAGTGATGTATGCTGCAGTGCATCATGAAGGGAAAATATACTCCAGCTTTCTACTTCAATTATTTTGAAATATTGGGTAGAAAATATTGACAAATACCTCTGGGAAATGAATGTTATGGGACTCCTACTGCAACTGCCTTTTAGTGTTAATGGGAAGCTCATGTGCCAATCCCTGCACACTGAGATGAGATTATACCACCTTCTTTCTTCTCCCTGTTTGCCCCTTCATTCATGTAATAGCCTTAATGTCCCTTCCGTTCCACACTCCCTTACTTCTTCATGGTTATATTGGAAATGGAACATCCCTGATATAGATGAATGCTTGCAGCAAGGACATCAGCAAAGCTGTGTACACTATTATCTTAGCAATGTCTACTGGTGGCTTCTGCTTTTGTCAAATGACTATAGAAATCTACCTGAGGTGGCATTCCCCTGAGAGGAATCAGCCACAAACATTGCCATGTGGTTAAATTTCTGGGCAGCTCATGGGATCAGCTGGCTTTCGTTTTGCAGGTTTAACCTTTAATTTAGCTATTTGGACATAAAGGGATTGCTTTCCGACATCCCTCATAATCTTTTTATCACAATCTTTCCCTGCACAATCCTTATTACTCTGCTTTTCTGAGGCCTGGAGTGACTATGTTTGTTTTAAGTAACCCTTCTGTTCCTTAGTGCCATGCTGTGTTCTGGCACAGTGCAAATATTGTGAGATCAGCTTATGTTTAGTCAATATATCCCAGGCACACTTTTTCATCTCCATTACAAATAGTGGTCATGAAATGCACTCCAATCAGGAGAGCCCTTTCCATGACCACTTTCCCATAGGCTTTGTGTGGCAATACAGAGATTGTCATCACAACACTGGGCCAACTGCTTGAACTCGGGTGGAGTTACACCCACTGGTGATCTGGCCCATCACTCTATAGGGTTTATTTGTTGCACTGTGTTTTGGTTTAATTGCTCTGTGCATTTCCCTGGGGCCGCGAGTTTATTAGTTTCATTAAGTGATTAGATCAGTAGAAGGCTCTCAGGTGCTGCTGATCAGGGTTTTTTTCCTCATGCCTCATTTTTAACGCTTGCACTGCACTCCACTACATTAGCTCTGTTGCTTTTGTAGTGAAATTGGTGGCACATTAGGCGGTGTCTGGTGTATTCAAAAGTATGAAAGGGCAATCTAATAGATGTGAGGCACATTGTGGCTGTAAAGATAAGTCCAACTATCATTAGTCCACTAGAGGAATACTAGGTCATTTCCTAATTAATACAATACATTCTCCCTCTTAGGCTAACATACGTTAAATTTGATCTTTATGTGACATCTCTCTATCTGTGTCAGGCTCAATCTCTCCTGCAGTATAAGGCATAGATTTGTTTTTTCCATCTATATCTTCTGACCATTCTAATTTCAGGTTTATAAGCTGGCTAGTAGGAAGTTTAGACTTGAGATTAGACGAAGGTTTCTAACCATTAGAGGAGTGAAGTTCTGGAACGGCCTTCCAAGGGAAGTAGTGGGGGCAAAAGATCTATCTGGTTTCAACATTAAACTAAATGGGTTTATGAAGGGGATGGTTTGATGAGATAACATGATCTTGGTAACTAATTGACCATTCATTATCAGTGGGAAATAGGTCAATGGAGGGATGATAGGAGTTACTATAGAGAACTTTCTGGGTGTCTGGCTGGTGAGTCTTGCCCACATGCTCAGGGTTTAGCTGATCGCCATATTTGGGGTCGGGAAGGAATTTTCCTCCAGGGTAGATTGGCAGAGACCCTGAAGGTTTTTCGCCTTCCTCTGTAGCATGGGGTACAGATCACAGCTAGAGGATTCTCTGCATCTTGTGGTCTTCAAAGTATTTGAAGGCTTCAATATCTGAGATATAGGTGAGAGGATTATTCTAGGAGGGGTGGGTGAGATTCTGTAGCCTGCACTGTGCAGGGGGTCAGACTAGATGATCATAATGGTCCCTTCTGACCTTAAAGTCTATGAGTCTATGAGCATTACTTTGCTGTTACAGCCCAAAGCAATGAACTTTGCACCTGGTGCTGGCTCATTAGCAATGTGCATTTGTGTCATCCCAGTCCGATAAATGTATCACCATGCAAGGACTCATATTTCCCTTCTGTGTACTCATCTCAGTCACTTGTCCTCATTGTATCAGTTGACCACATGCTTTTATACATTAATGCCTGAAGATGTGACTTAGCCTACCTTATGCGGTGTAATTTCATATAAGTTTTGCTTTACTGTTTGCCCGCAATGGAAGCATATTATCCGCTGTTTAGGCTATCTTCTTCCACTGAGTCCTCTATCTCTACCACTGTCATGCTAAATAACAGTCACTGTGGCCCTGCTGGAATCCATTTGATTTATTTTCCATGCATGAGAGATACAGCTCTTTGAATTCTCCTGCTTTGGCATTAACTAGGTTTATATCAAGTGTCAGGGGCTCCCTAAATAATTTGTCTGAGCTTGCTTTTTCTTTATTTGTCAATAAACCAATCTCCACTCATATCATCCTGCAAAATGCCATACTCATAGCTTGTGTTTTTCTTTATTATGGCTCTGAGTCTCATTATAAACCAAACCTACACACTCCAGTTCCAATTGGCTTGTCTGTCAGAACTGGTGTTTATCAAAAGCTGCATTCCTCCTGTGCAAAATATTAACCTTGATTCTGTACTCTAGTGCTGTACATTTCAAAAATCTCTTGACCAACTGTCCCAGTCAAAAGCAGCTGCTAAATCATATGTTGGGTAGTAGCTAACATTTTCCTCAACTAATATTATTGCAGAATTTCTCTTTGTAACACTGTTTTTTCCATATGGCAAGCACGGTCTGCCTGAATTACATTACTTTGGAAGAATGAGAGGATGA